ACCCTACAGCGTTCCTGAGGGGTCTCCAAGGAGATTGGGATCAGGATTGGGATCGGGATTGGGATCGGGATCGGGATCGGGATCAGGATTGGGATTGGGATCGGGATTGGGATCGGGATTGGGATCAGGATCAGGACCGGGATCGGGATCAGGATTGGGATTGGGATGGGATCGGGATTGGGATCGGGATTCACTGGGAATTTGGTGGGAATTCTTCAGGAATTCGGTGGGGATTCTCTGGGTATTTGGCAGGAATTTGGTGGGAGTTTTGTGGGAATACTCCAGGAATTTGGTGAGAATTTGGCAGGAATTTGGTGGGAGTTTGGTAAATTTGGTGGGAACCTGGTGTGAATTCTGCAGGAATTTGGTGGAAGTTTGGTGGGAATTCTCCAGGAATTTGACAGGAGTTTGGCGGGAATTCTCTGGGAATTTGGCAGGAATTGTCTGGGAATTCAGTGGGAATTGGGTGGGAGTTTGGTGGGATTTTGGCAGGAACTCTCTGAGAATTTTCCAGGAATTCGGTGGGAATTCTCCAGGACTTTGGCAGGAATTCTCCATGAGTTTGGCAGGATTTTGGTGGGAATTCTTTGGGAATTCTCCGGGATTTTGGCAGGAATTCTCTGGGAATTCAGTGGGAATTTGGCAGGAGTTTGGTGGGATTTTGGCAGGAATTCTCCGGGAATTCTCTGGGAATTCTGGGACCTCCCTCACCTTTGCTGCTCAGCTCCTCCTCATCATCGCTGAAGGCGGCCTCGGCGTTGTCATAGCAACCGTCATCCTTCTCCAGGTGATTCTCCATCTCCATGGCAACCGGCTCCTCCATTTTCACTGCACGGAACCCATCCCAAAAATCGGCTCGGGAATGGTCCGGGATCCCGGGAAAAACCCCACGGGAATCCCAAAATCCCAACAGCCCCAACCCCACAGCCCCGGCTGACCCCGCTGGAATTCCATGGAAAATTCCATGGAAAATTCCATAGAAAATTCCATGGAAAATTCCCTGGAAACCCCATCGGGGATCGGCCCCAACTCCTGGCGGAATTCCACAGAAAATTCCACGGAAAATTCCATAGAAAATTCCATAGAAAATGCCATAGAAAATTCCATGGAAAATTCCATGGAAAATACTGGGGACCGGCCCCGGCTCCCGCCAGAATTCCATAGAAAATTCCATAGAAAATTCCATAGAAAATTCCATAGAAAATTCCATAGAAAATTCCACAAAAAATTCCACAGAAAATTCCATAGAAAATTCCATGGGAAATTCCCTGGAAACCCCATCGGGGATCAGCCCCAAATCCCGCTGGAATTCCATAGAAAATTCCATAGAAAATTCCATAGAAAATTCCATGGGAAATTCCCTGGAAACCCCATCGGGGATCAGCCCCAAATGCTGCTGGAATTCCATAGAAAATTCCATAGAAAATTCCACGGAAAATTCCACGGAAAATTCCACAGAAAATTCCAATGAAAATTCCATGGAAAATTCCACAGAAAATTCCAGGGACCCCCCGACGGTTCCCACCTTCCATGGGGGGCGAGGGGGAGCTGCAGAATTCCGGGAATTTCTCCCTCAGCATGGCCCGGAGCTCCTTGTCCAGTTTGGGATTGTCGAAGAGCGGGGCCANCCACAGCCCCGGCTGACCCCGCTGGAATTCCATGGAAAATTCCATGGAAAATTCCAATGAAAATTCCCTGGAAATCGCATCAGGGATCAGCCCCAAATCCCGCTGGAATTCCATAGAAAATTCCATAGAAAATTCCACAGAAAACTCTATAGAAAATTCCACAGAAAATTCCATGGAAAATTCCATAGAAAATTCCATACAAAATACCGGGGACTGGCCCCGGCTCCTGTCAGAATTCCATAGAAAATTCCATGGAAAATTCCATGGAAAATTCCCTGGAAACCCCATCGGGGATCAGCCCCAAACCGCACTGGAATTCCATAGAAAATTCCATAGAAAATTCCATGGAAAATTCCATGGAAAATTCCACAGAAACCCCACCAGGACCGGCCCCAACTCCCACTGGAATTCCGTAGAAAATTCCATAGAAAATTCCAATGAAAATTCCACAGAAAATTCTCAGAAAATTCCAATGAAAATTCCACAGAAAATTCCAATGAAAATTCCACAGAAAATTCCAAGGAAAATTCCAATGAAAATTCCATGGAGAATTCCAATGAAAATTCCAGGGACCCCCCCGACGGTTCCCACCTTCCATGGGGGGCGAGGGGGAGCTGCAGAATTCCGGGAATTTCTCCCTCAGCATGGCCCGGAGCTCCTTGTCCAGTTTGGGATTGTCGAAGAGCGGGGCCAGGTGCCTGTGGGGACAGTGGGGACAGTGGGATTGTCACCTGTGCCACCAGGAGGGTTTAGGGACACCGGGGATTGTCACCCGTGTCACCAGGAGGGGCTGGAATTTGGGATCATCCCGGGGAAATCCCGATTCCCTCAACCCTCTTGTCCCTTCTCTTTGGGGAATGGGAATGGGATGGGAATGGGAAGGGAATGGGACAATCCATGGGAAATGGGAATGGGATGGGAATGGGAAAATGGGAATGGGGATGGGAATGGGAAGGGAATGGGAATAGGAATGGGGAATGGGAACGGGAATGGGACAATCCATGGGGAATGGGAAAGGGAATGGGAATGTGAATGGGAAATGGGAATGGGAACAGGAATGGGATGGGAATGGGATGGAATGGGATGGGAATGGGGATGGGAATGGGATGGAACGGGGATGGGAATGGGATGGGAATGGGGGAATGGGAATGGGGGAATAGGAACAGGAATGGGACAATCCATGGGGAATGGGAAAGGGAATGGGATGGGAATGGGAACAGGAACAGAATGGGAACAGAATGGGAATGGGGATGGCAATGGGGACAGGAATGGGAAAAGGAATGGGATGGGAAAGGGAATGGGATGGGAATGGGATAATGGGAATTGGGACAGGAATTGGGACGAGAATGGGATGGGAAAAGGAATGGGGACGGGAATGGGAACAGGAATGGGATGGGAACTGAATGGGAATGGGGATGGCAATGGGAACAGGAATGGGAACGGGAATGGGAAAGGGAATGGGAACGGGAATGGGAATGGGATGGGGATTGGAATGGGGAATGGGAAAAGAATGGGAACGGGATGGGAATGGGAATGGGATGGGAACAGGAACTCCAGGAGGGAACCGGTGGGATGGAGGTGGCCGCATCCACATTGGAAAATTGGGGGAATTTGAGGAGATTTGGGGTCTCTTACGCCAGCACGCGCTTCTCCACGATGTGCGTGAGGGAGTTGAAGACGCCCTGGCGGACGTGAGCCTCGAGAGGGGGGTAGAAATTGGGGATGATCTG